CCTGGTCTTCAAGTCATCAGTCAGCTGCCAAGTGTTCTGTAAGAAGGTGAGTGCCCTCCTCCCACCAGCCCACAGCTCCCTGCTCCCTATCACTGTATCCGTCTGTGCCTGTCTCCTGCCTCTGTTCTAGGTCTCCCTGAACTGGGCAAGGCCAAGTTGGCCTGATACCCAAAGGAGTCAGGCTATTCCTGGACCCTAAAGGACAGAGTTGGTTCGCTGAGGCCTCCAGGCTCCTTCACTCAGTTATGGGGTGCCCCACGTAGGATCTGCTTCTGAGAGTCCCTCCAGGCAGGGTTGGAGAGGGGTGAAGAAACCTATTTTCTCTTGCAGAGGAAGCCAGCGCTTGAAGTATTGTCGGGCTGGGAGAGGGAAGGGCATGCTTGGGGTGGGGCACAGGTGAAACTGGCTCTGCTCTCAGGAGGAAGAGGAGGAGAGGTGGCGAGGTAGGGATGGTGGGCTGGGTTGGCTCCCAGGAACTCAGCCCAGGCCCTTAGGCCCCTCCACACCAGGCCCCTTCACCTCAGCCTGGCCGTGGTGGCAGGCCCCTGCTTGTCTTTCTGGGCCTGGCAGGTGAGTCAGGGGCACTGGAATGCAGCGGGCAGAAGCCCAGCCCGTATGCTGTCAGCATTCAGAGGGTGACAGACAGCTCCCCTTCTCCGTCCGAGCTGGCTCTGCTTCTTAACCCACACAGCCCCATTTCACCCCCTCAGAAGCTGGCAGTGAGTCATCCAGGGCAGCTTTCATTCCCCTGGTCTCTCATTGAGCCCATGCCCACCCATTCCAGGCAGCCAGCTGCATCTTCTCCAGTCTTCGCTGGAGACTGTTCTGTGACCCATCCTTAGAGGGACCCTCTCCCTCTGGGAAGCCCATAGGTTGGGAGCCTAGCAGCCTGAGCAGGGCCCATTGGAGGGAGTGGCAGGTCAGGCTCAGCAAGAGGAAGCTGCTTCCCTCCCCACGAGAAGTTCAGCTCACTTGACAACAGTCCTTTCTCACTGCCTGATGCTACTGCTCACTTCTACCTCTCCATGCCCTGGGGCAACTCCATCTCCTGCCTCAGAGCGTGGCCCTGCCGACTCCATACAGTCCACCTCCCCAGGCCCTCTAGGGAGAGGCACCAGCTGTTGGAGAACAGAAGAATTCTATTGATATGGTGATTCCTGGGATGTAGGGAGCTTGAGATGAGCTGGGTTCTAAGCTCCAGCCTCTGTGTCCCCAGGTCTACTTCATCTGGGTGACCCGGACCCAGCGGCAGTTTGAGTGGGTAGCTGACATCATCCGGGAGGTGGAGGAGAATGACCACCAGGACCTGGTGTCTGTGCACATCTACATCACCCAGCTGGCTGAGAAGTTCGACCTCAGGACCACCATGCTGGTACGTCAGGGCTGGCCAGGCCGGGCAGCTCAGTGGGTATGTGGGTTGGCAGGGTAGATGGCCAGGGCAGGTGGATGGATAGCCAGGCCCAGTTGCCATCCTCAGCCTCCAGCTCCCTTCCCACATCAGTCTCTGTCTCCTGGGCTGTAGGCTAGCTTGAGCTAGGCACTGACCGTGATTGTCCTTGGCTTGACCTGCCCCTGTGTCCCCAGTACATCTGTGAGCGGCACTTCCAGAAGGTGCTGAACCGGAGTCTGTTCACGGGCCTGCGCTCCATCACCCACTTTGGCCGCCCCCCCTTCGAGCCTTTCTTCAACTCCCTGCAGAAGGTCCACCCACAGGTCAGTCTCCACCCCACGTTCACGTTCTCTTCACCTTTATCATCTGAGGTCTGAGCAAAGTTCCCAAACCTGCTCCATCAGGGAAGGAGAACCCATTGCCTGGGAGACTGGTGGGGTAAAGGGATGGAAAAGGAGAGGTGGGGGTCACCCTGAGGGGCTAAGGGAGGCAGCAGGCAACGGGGACTTGCCACCTCTGAAGCCATGCTGTCTTGTCCAGAAGGAAGGGCTCAGTGACTGAGCTAGTCCTCACCAAAAATTCAGAGCTACCCTCACCTTTAATACTGAGCCAGCCCTCAACCTGGACGCCGAGCTACATCTTCACCGCAAATATGGGGCTGGCCACACTCTCATCAAAACTGGGTTGCCCTCAGTGAGACACTAAGCTGTCCCTCAAGTTGAACATTGATTAGACTGTCCCCTATTAGAAACACTGATCTTGTACTTGAAGCTGGCAAATGCCTTGGAGAGGGGAGAGGCTGGACCCACAGAGAGCAAGTCTACCAAAACTGAGCTAGATTTTTAAACACTGAGCCAGCCCTCAGTATACATGGTATGAAGCAAACCTTCATCAGGAACATGGCATGAGTCCTCACCAAGGACTCTCGCTGGTCTTTATATGATCATGGAGCTAGCCCTCCCTTTGAACACCGAGTTATCCATACCTCTGAACACTGAGCCAGCCTTTACCTCTTCCTCCTTCAACAGGTCCGGAAGATTGGGGTGTTTAGCTGCGGCCCCCCTGGCATGACCAAGAATGTGGAAAAGGCCTGTCAGCTCATCAACAGGCAGGATGGAACTCATTTCTCCCATCATTACGAGAACTTCTAGGCCTCCTGCCCAGGGGCTCCGCCCACCACCCAGCTGAGAGGTTTGGGCCCACACTTCACCTCTGTACTTCCTGTTTCTGGCTCCTTCAACCATCTTCCCATTCCCACCTCCCAACTTAGGTTCAGGTGACCATGGACAGTAACTCCATGTGGGTTCAGGGGCTCCCAGGCCCAGAATGTCTTAGTCTGGAGAAATGGGAGGGGGCTAGAGGTTGGGAGGCAGGAGAGCTATTATTGCTTTGGGGCAGAGTGACACCTCTTTTTCCAAAATAGGAAAAAAACTCAAAAGGCTGGAGCTGACAAATTTGTGTGTGTGTGTGTGTGTGTAGGGGACTGAGCCTGAGAATGAAGAGAGGGCACAGAAGCTGGCATCTTAAAACCCCTTCTCCCAAATCTCCCCCTCCTCTGGGCTCCCCATGTCAAAAAGGTTGTCAAATGCCTTAGAAGGGGTAGGGGGCTGTACCTACAGAGAGCAATTTGTAGGAACCCCCTCAGCACCCCATTCTAACAGCACAAATGATCTTTTCTCCCAACTTTTTAAACATGTACTATAGTCATAACGTGGCCCAACCTGTCTCAGTTCTCAGTTCTTCTCTCCTCTTCCTGCTCTGTCTCTTTACAGATAAACTACTTTTCTGCCCTTAGAGTTTATTTTGCTCCAGGATAGAGTAGGTACTGGCAGAGGAAGCCACTCATGCAGCCAGCTCACTAAAACTGGTCCAGACAGTCTCTCTGAGCTTGCCAGTATCCACTGAATAAAGGAACCATCGCCCCACCCCAAGCCAAATACTCCAGCTAGAGAGCCCTTTCCCTGATCAGGGGCACCTTTCCTAACAGAGAGGCTCTCAGGGCAGCAAGTGTGCAGCTTCTGAGGCCTGATCAGGAGGGGCAGAGAGGTGTGGGGGATTCTGGAGAAGGTCGGCTGAGCACAAAGTGGGGGAATAGTGGGACATAGCAGGAGCCTACAGGGAGCCTGAGTACACCTGGCCTGCTCCAAGACCTCAGTTACTCCCCTGCTCTGAGCAGTGGGAGGGTTGAGTACCTGTGCCTACATGAATCTTCCAGGTAGCGATATGACAGTGAAGAGACAGTTGAGCGCATCAGTTAGCTTCTTTGGACCTCTGTTTTCTCATCTGCAAAATAACTGAATGCCCTCCATGTCTACTTAGATAGGGCAACCTCTGTGAAGGAATTTCTGAAGCAGGACCTAATTTCAAGTGATCCTTTCCATTGTCCTTAGAGAATTCTTACATTTGTCAGATTACATATCATCGATTTCGATAAACCAGCCACTAGATTAGGAAATCAAAAATCCCCTGCTTCACACCACACTGAGGGGTACAAGTTCAGGTTCTGGAGGGGGCCCTGAGACTAGCCTCCCAGGGCAGCCGTTTCCCACAGGTGTTAGTTCTGCCAGGTCGTCGGCGGGAGTTTCTGTTTAGCTTGCCCGTCGGAGCAAGAGGACGGGCCTGAGGTGGTTTGACAGCAGCTCTGCCTGGCGGCCCAGTGTTATTTCCAGGGACTGGGCCCCAGGCCTTCCCGGGTTCCAGCAGTGGGCGCGGGCCGGGGCGATCCGGTGGTGTGGCCTTGAGGCTAGAGGCACGGCCAGCGGGGGGCGCGCGCGGACAACCCTGCCAGGCTCAGCCAAGGACCCGGCGCCACAGCTGCCAGGGAGATTCGGGTTGACCAGTTGGCCGCAGGCGTCGGGGGCCGTACCCATCCTTCCGAGGAAGTGCGTCCAAGGGCATGAGGCCGGTCTCTGCTTCCTCTGGAAAGGGAACACAGTCGGTCGCGCCAGCTTTCCCGCCTCCGCCGGCGCACGGCTTCCGCGTGGCAGTGCCTCCCCGCTCCCTCCCGTCTGGCGCGCTGCCCCTTTGTCTCTCCGCGGCTCCCCTCCTCCCAGACAAATGGCTGTTGGCAGGAAACTGGACGCGCTCTCAGGGA